ATTTTTAAAAGGGGAAAAAAATGTTGGGTTTTTTTTGGTTTGTTATACAAAAAATTTTTTATGGGGAAAATTCAAAAAAATGTCTTAAACCAAAATGTTGGAAGAAAAAAAATTTCTAAAAAGTCTTTGCATCGGGGGCGGAGGCCCATTCGGAAATCGGGCACTCCCCGGGGGCCCCGGGGGTCAGTGGGGGGCCCCATGAGTTTCCCCCCGGGTGCCCTTTTCATTTTTTTTTGATTTTTGGGTTTTGGGAGGGACACAGGGGCCCCATGATCCCCTTTTTTGCCCGGGGGCCCCCGAGGGGTCAGCCCGCCCCTGCTTTCCCATGATGCAATTTTAACAAAAACCCCTTTCCTGGAAACTCTAAACCAGTCAATTGAGAGGGCCCTTACACATTTGACCTTACGGGGTTCCTAAAAACATTTAAAGTTTAAAATTTTCCCTTGATATAATGAATTTAAAAAGCCAAGGTCAAGCTTTGCTGTCAAAGGATTTCCCAGGATCAATGCCGGCATTTTTGGCAGGATGAAACTTGTGCCAGCTCAGGGGCCGGTGGGCAGCCCCCTTGGGAAACCCATGACTCATAACAACGGGGAAACAATCACAAATGTTTTTTAGTGTTGTGGGGAAACTCGAGGTCACAGCGATGGGAAACCTTTTAAACGTTTAAAATTAAAGGGATTTTGGGACCCGTATTCGGGGGTTAAAAATGAGTTTGGGGCCCGCAGTTGCTGTTTCCAAGTGCGTACCGGACAGCTGTCTTTTTTTTTCCTAAAAAGGAACTTCAAAAAACCCTTTTTTTTTTTAGTGTGATAAATTTTTCCCGGGCCCCACACCAAAAGATTTCTTTTCTTGGTAACCAGCTTTCTATCAATAAAAACAAAATGGGGTTTAATGGGAGATTACTGGAAAACTGTCCCCTTTCCAATGCCTTAACCTCCCTGGCGGGCTGATTATTTTCCAATTTTTTGTGCTGGGAAAACGGGACAAATTTTTTTGCATGGAAAAAAAAGTAGTTTTTTTTTTGTAGGCCCCGGGAATTTTTTGGGAAAAGCTCCTGAAATCTTTCCCAACAAGGTTATAAACATCCCCCCCGGGGTTTTAAAAAAATTTAAACACAAAAAACATAAATTATAATTTAATTTTAAAAATTCATAAAAAATAAAAAAATATAAAAAAATACATTTAATTCAAAAATAAGCAAACCAAAAAAAAAAAAATTGGGAAAAATAAACCCCCAAAAATTACCCATCGTGAGCAAAATCGCCCAAAAACGGGTTTTTTCAGGGGGGTTTTTTTGAAGACCGGGAAATTTTCCCCCAAAAGAAACATTTTTTCCACTCCCAAATTTTACAAAGGGGGGGGTTTGGATTTACTATCGCTGTTTTCTACCGGGCTTTAAAAGATTTTTTACCTAACACTCGGGAATACCTCCAGGGAGGTTAAAGGCTTAGTCCACCTTTGATGCCATATTTCATTTTACACCCAGGGCCAGTGCTAGACTATTTTGCACCCTAGGCAAGACCAGCTACTTGCACCCCCCCCCCCCCAAAAAAAAAAAAACTGTAGAAAATATTAAATTAACAAAACATGAAACTGCTAAATTTTAATTTGCAAAACTAAGTGCCATAAGATGCCACCAGCACCAATGTCAACTCCTTGACGCCGACATAACACAAATATGCAGCCTCGCAGAACTGGGCTTTTTTCTGTGGGGCCGCATATTTACATACCTGACTTTGTGTTGGGAGCGTGCCGCACAGTGTGCTCACAGCACAAAGACTGGGGTGTACTGAGAGCCCCGGGTCACGTTCTAACAATCAGGACCCGAGACTCCCGATTCTGGGTCACATGATCGCTGTGATAGCCTCTGATTGGCTATCACAGTGATCAGCCACTGTGAAGCCCGCCCCCCCCTTGTTTTTTTTTCTCTCTGAATGGAGGAGAGAGATACATTGTATCTCTACCTCTCCTTGCAGACAGAAAAAAAACTGTTTGTAAAAAAAATAATAATAAATAAATATAAAAAAGAAAAGAAAAAAGAGAGAAAAATACCGAGATCAAGGTTTGTTCTAGTTCAGTGCCAGTGTTTATGTTTGGGTCAAGGTTAGGGTCAGAAGGTCAAGGTCAAAGTCAGCGTCAAAAGTCAAGATTTGGGTTTTTTTTTAACCACTAGCCTACAGAGCACTTATACCCCTTTCCTGCCCAGGCCAATTTCCAGCTTTCAGCGCTGTCACACTTTGAATGATAATTGCGCGGTCATGCAACACTGTACCCATATGAAATTTTTTATCATTTTTTTTAGACAGATAGAGCTTTCTTTTGGTGGTATTTAATCACCTCTGGGATTTTTATTTTTTCTTAAACAAACCAAAAACCACTTAAAAATTTTGAAAAAATAAAGTTTTTTCTTAGTGTTTGTTATACAATTTTGTAAATAAGTGATTTTTCTCCTCCTTCACTGATGTGCGCTAATGAGGCTGCAGTGATGGGCACTGATAGGCTTGCACCACTGATGGACACTGATAGGTGGCACTGATGGGCACTGATGAGGAGGCACTGGTAGGTTGCACTGATGGGCATTGACAGGCATCACTGATGGGCACTGAAAGGCAGCACTGATACATGACACTGATACATGACACTGATAGGCGGCACTGATAGGCAGCACTGACTGGCACTGATAGGCGGCACTGACTGGCACTGTTAGACAGCACTTACTGGTACTGTTAGGCGGCACTGACTGGCACTGATAGGCGACACTGACTGGCACCGATAGGTGGCACTGATTGGCATTGATAGGTGGCACTGACTGGCACTGATGGGTGACATTGAAAGGCAACTCAGATGGGCACTGATATGTGGCATTGATGTGGCACTGATGGGCACTGGCACGTGGCACTGATGGGCACTGGCACTGATGAGCACTGACAGGTGGCACTTCTGGGGCCACACTGATCATCAGGTCACACTGATCATCAGTGCCCTGATGATCAGTGTACATGTCCCCTCTGTGGAAAGCTGATTACCGGCTCTCCTCTCCTCTCGTTCTGTCTCCTCTCGTTCTGTCAGGAGAGAAATGCCGATAACCGGCATTTCCGTGTTTACATGTGATCAGCTGTGATTGGACACAGCTGATCACATGACCGAGCCAACATCTTCGGCTCTTTCCGTGATCGCGCTGTGCGCTCCCTGAGCAGCGCATGCGCAGTGAGAATGGTAGTACGTCATATGACGTCCTCCCAGAACGAGAGAACCACCTTGCGCCCGTCATTGTACTATAGGGCGGGCAGAAGATGGTTAAATTGGTATCAGTGTCAGTGTGGTTTAGGTAAAAAATCAAAACGCGCACTATTGTTTTTGGGCTGTAGTACAGGTAAAAACGACAAATAACATGCACATATTTGGTATCACTGCGATCATCAAGAGCTGCAAAATGTAAATTGGGTTGTTCTTTAGTGGTAGGTTATGGTAGTAACAAGAAACACAGCTACATTTAAAAATAATTATTTTTTTTTTACTATTTTGGGCCAGTTTTCCTTTGATAAAAAAAAAAAATCAGGAGAAATCCATTACTATTAACACCATATGATTTGTTCTGAAAAAACATGGTATAGATTCCCGGGATCAAAGTAGTTGTGATGATATGTACTGTTTTACTAACATCGTTGTACTTAGGCTTTAACCCCTTCACGTGAGCTAGAACCAGGACGGGGCGGGTTTAGGGTCATGTGACCGCTGTTGCATGGAGGTCATATGATCGGGAAAGATCCCAATCGAAAGAGGAGATCGGGACCTTTCCGTGAGTACCAGACATGTGTGCTGGGAGCGCGCAGGGCGCGCACTCTCGGCACATATGTCCTTTTTTAATTGCACGCAAATGTGTGGCCGCTCGGCGTCTAGGCCCAGACACCGGGAGGCCACACATTTGTGTGTGGCCGGTGTGAAGAGGTTAAGATTTGTTTTACCCTTAGGCGTGAAGGAGTTAAAGACAAACTTAGTGTCACGGACAGACTGTATTAGTGGCTGGCAATGGCAGGGTGACTGTTGCAGTGAGTGGAGGATGATGGATCCACACTCTGACAGATCCCAGGCTGGAATTCCCGAGGCAATGTGGGGAGAAAAAACACCATGACAGCAGGCAGCTGAACTAAGCGATCCCACACAGTGACAGATCCGACACAACACACCACCACCAACACTGACACAGATCAGCAGGCACTAGAAGAGCAGGCTGTGGGATTCTGATGATGTCATGACTCACCGACACATTGCACATGTGATGGATGGCTGGCCGGGTCACACTTACAAAGACAATAGACATCAGAATCAGACATTACCATCCTCTGCAGGTGCAGCTCCGCCTCTGTTGTTCAATAAGAAGAGAAGGGCTGGAACTCCACAGTGATCAACAGCCAAAAGTCAGCTTGCAGTAAGGGACTGTGTCTGAGAGGAACACTGCAAGGAGTGGCAGCTCAGCTGCTACACTGGCCCCTTCCTCTGTCTTTGCTTCCTCCTCTCTGCCGCCCCTCCTCTCAGTTGAAGGATCATTCATGACGTGGCGGCATCACACACAGAGTGCTGGCCTGTGCTACACCCAGGTGCCCCTAGGTGGCAGTGCGCCCTAGGTGGCTGCCTAGTTCGCCTAGTAGAAGCATCGGCCCTGGTTACACCAATATTTAAAATAAAACATAGTCATGTTGTCCAACCCCCCCCCCCCCCAATTACCTGAATCTCAGAGTGCTTCTTGCTCCGCCCACATGACCAGGTTATCCATTTACAACGATATGTGAATGGGAATACTATATGTCCCATTTGTCAGTGTGGCACATCACAACGGCAGCAGGGGTGTCACCACCATTGTAGTCTGTTGTTTGCTTCCACCAGCGCCTCTGTACAGACTTGAAGCTGGGAATGAACAATACAGGAGTCTGTGCATTGCACCCACCAGGGGCGAACTGACCATTTGGAAACTGGGGCACTGCCCGAGGGCCCGGGGTCAGTAGGGGGCCCCATGAGATACCCCTGGTACCTTTTTCATAGGCTTTTTTGAGTTTGGGCAAGGACACAGGGGCTCCATGATCCCCTATTGCCCGGGGACCCCATGAGTTGTCAGTCCGCCCCTGGCACCCACTATGTACTGATCACGGTTGCAATGCTCTGCAGACTTGAAAGTTCATTGTTGATGCAATTATTACAATGCCTTTAAAATTATTTTAATGTTGATCTTAAATGTTGCAGGTCTGGAAGAAAAAAATCCTGACATTATCATGAATCCATTTAATTAAAAACCCACAACTCTACTTTTTACCATTTAAGCCCAGTTCTACATTCCTTGCACCCATTTCCTGCCCCAATCCATTTTGGAGCACCCCCGTGCCCTTTTAATAGAGAGATATGCAAAGAAATGAGCCTGGTGCAGCTTCATAAAGCACCCCAGGGGGGAGGGAGGTTTGGTATGAATGTAAATGGGGAGTCCAGGCTAAAAAAACAAAACTATGTCCCCCCACTAAACTAAGAGGAGCCCCACAAACAGCACAAAAATGGGGTCCCCATTCCTGTGGGCCAGGAAAGAGGTTGGGGGAGAAGAGCATGCAACTTGAACTACACCAACCACCTGCCCTCAATATGAGGAGGAGGGGGTCATAGATATCCTTGGCTTATAGAAGGCTGGGAGTCAGTTAACTTGGCAGAAGACCGGTGCTACATCACAGAGCCATGAGCCTGTAGGAGATGAGAAGAGTGATCTTTTTATTATTACTGCTGCAGGTATTGCTTTTTTTTAAGAAGTTGGGCTTTAAACAGCTGTCCTTGAGCTCCAGTCAATGAATTCACCTAGGCTGAGATATCATCAGGCTGCTTCAGGTAGGAGGAAACATTTCCTCAGTCTCCTCTCCCCCAAGTGATCAGACTACAATGTTGTGGGATGGGATGCTGCAGCAAGGGCTGATCTGTGTCAGACATTTGTAAACACAACCAGGGGCGGACTGACCATTTGGAAACTCAGGCACTGCCTGAGGGCCCAGGGTCAGTAGGGGGCCCCATGAGATACCCCTGGTAACTTTTTCATAGGCTTTTTTGAGTTTGGGCAAGGACACAGGGGTCCCATGATCCTCTATTGCTGAGGGGCCCCATGAGTTGTCAGTCCACCCCTGAACACAAGCAAGAACTGTACAGACACCAGGATTTAAGTGTCACCTCTGAGCTGAAATCTCAGTCTAGGAAATAGATGGTGACCCTGAATGATGCCTGATCAAAGGATGCCCTGTCCTTCTGGAGAGATAACCAGATGAGGGAAGCAGCAGGGGGTGAAGCTGGGAATCAGTCAACTTGGAAGAAGACCGATGCTACATCACTGAGCCGTGAGCCTGTAAGAGATGACAAGAGTGATCTTTTTATTTTTACTGCTGTGGGTATTGCATTTTTTTCCATTTTTTTTATGAAATTGGGCTTTAAACAGCTGTCCTTGAGCTCCAGTCAAAGAATTCACCTAGGCTGAGATATCATCAGGCTGCTTCAGGCAGGAGTCAGCATTTCCTCATTCTCCTTTCCTCCAAGTGATCAGACTACAATGTTGTGGGATGGGATGCTGCAGCAGGGGCTGATCTGTGTCAGACATTTGTAAACACAACCAAGAACTGCACAGACACCAGGATTTAAGTGTCACCTCTGAGCTGAAACCTCAGTCTAGGAAATTGATGGTGACCCTGAATGATGCCTGATCAAAGGATGCCCTGTCCTTCTGGAGAGATAACCAGATGAGGGCTGCAGCAGCAGGTGGCTAATCTGGTCAACCCTGTGAACATCTTGTCCATTAACCTCCCTGGAGGTATTCCCGAGTGTAGCTCGGGGTAAAATGTCAGTACCAAAAGCGGTAACCCCGAGCTACACTCGGGCTTACCATGCGGCGCTGCATAGGGAGTCCCTGCAGCACTTACCTTGTCCTTCGCTCCCGCAATGTGTCCCCTGCAGCGTCCCCAACCATCTCCTCCGGCCGATGCCGGCATCCGGCTCCTGTGTTCCAGTCCCTGTGACGTCAGGATGTACGGGCGCCGCCGGCGGCGGGAAATTTGAAAATTTTTAAAAAAATGTCATTTTTTTTCAAAAAGATTTTACATAGTAAAACATTGTTGTTTAAACCCATTTCACATACATTTTGTCCCGAGTGCTTTGTCCTGCGCCCTGCCTGCATTTTGTCTGTTCTTTCTGCCTGGAAACTGAGAAACGTCCATGGCGTCCAAAAAGCGTCCCTTTAGGTCAAAAGCAGGTTTAGACCGGCTAGAGAACAGCGATAGTAAATCAGAACCACTTGCAGAATTGAGTGATAATGATTCGTGGGGAATTCGTCATCAGACACTGAAAACGATTCTGCGACTTTGCTCAGTGATGTGCGAACGTGGCGCTCTATTTCAAATTTCAGTGTTTTTGGTTTGATTATATTATTGAATTAAATTTATTATTATATTATTATTTTTTATGATTATTTATTAAATTATAATTTATGATTTTGTGTTTCAAATTTTATCCTACCCGGGATGTTTACTAGACTCTTGTTCGGACAGATTTCAGGGAGTTATTCCTAAATATTACAGCCTACAATAAAAAAACTACATATTTCCATGCAAAAAAAATGGTACCGCTTTCAGCACCAAAAATCTGAAATAATCATACCTCTAGGGAGGTTAAATGCTCCAGCCCACAAGAAAAGCACTGTAGAGAAGATATTTTACATGTTTTTATTGTTTTCAGTTACAGCAATTGATATGTATTTTACATATGATACTGGTAAATACATACACCACTCCGTATTATACAGTAGTAAAGTGCTTAAAGTGATTTTGTCATAAATACACAACAGCTTACATAGACAGAGAAAACTTTACGAAACGCTGGGCAAGCTTTTCAGATAATGGTACTGTACCTTGTGGAAGCTGCATGCTCTCTCACCGATGAAACTGGCTCTCTTCCAAGAGCTTTTATCACTGTTACAAAGCCACCATTTTCACTGAGCCTCTGCAGCCGAGCCCTATAAATGTACATTACAGCTTCTTCAAAATCACTGTTGAATCCACCAGGGAACCAAATGCATGGAGCACCTGGCACTGTTCTGATCTCTGGTCGCTCTATGTCTGTCTATGCGTTTTGTAGCTCCACCCTAGGCTGAAGCCCAATTTACGGATGTTCCTATGGAATAGCTACAGGCAGCACAATAACCACTGCCCCCTCTCTGTGTACTGGCTGGTGGCTCAATCAAGGATGGCCCCCTACAGGACCACAATTACCTCTAGAGCAGTGGTTCTCAACCTGTGGGTCGCGACCCCTTTGGGGGTCGAACGACCCTTTCACAGGGGTCCCTTAAGACCATCAGAAAACACATATTTCCAATGTGTAAAGAGCAGCTACTGTGTAGAAAGCAGCTGCTGTGTTTAAAAGCAGCTACTCTGTTAAAAGCAGCTACTGTGTTGAAAGCAGCAGTATTGTAGGTAAAACGACACTCATGAATTATAATTACTGGGTAAATAATTTTATGGTTGGAGGTCACCACAACATGAGGAACTGTATTAAAGGGTCACGGCATTAGGAAGGTTGAGAACCACTGCTCTAGAGCATGTCTGCTGCCTGAGACAAGCACTGTCACTCAGTCCCTATTAGAAATGGCTACTGATGTGCAGTGTGGTTGAAGAGCGTGTTGAGGAGGGGTGGGCCACGGTCAGCCATATTAGCTCAGCAACCACAGCACAGGTCAGAACAGGACAAGCGCATATGCACTTGGTTCCTGGGGGATTCAACAAAGTTGAAGTGATACTTCTTTAGCAAAAACTGCCAACAGTCACACTTTTACCAGGATAGAATTGGGCAGACAAGGTCCACAAAAGTGAGAACATCGATTAATTCTGCCACACAGCCAGTCAATGCTAAAAAGGAGCAGTGAAAAAGAGTTACAACACGATTACAGATTACATAAATTCCTCCCTGTGCTTCTCTACATAGCACTGCAACAGCATAAGAAAAAAAAGAGTAAAACATGACCTCAACCACTTCTTTATTGTGCGTCTGTATAGATTCCCACTGCTACATCTGTCTCAGACCTTTTCAAAACATAGATACAAGGGTTCTTCAAAAAGTTTATGCAATTTTTTTAACTTATATATGTGTGTATAAAAGTGTGGAAACTTTTGGAAGACTCCTCGTATATATATATATATATATATATATATAAAAGGGTGCCAAAACAAAAGGTGAAGGAGTCCAAGATCATTCAAAACTCAAGTATATAAAAATATCCAACGTGTTCCGTCAGCAACAGCACTTTTCCCTTCATCAGGGCTTAGAAGATGAAATAGACTCAAATGGACCAACAACCAAATGGATCTATCTTTGTTTTCCTTTTGGGCTGGAAAAGAAACAATGTGGCCAGCGGCAGAGTTCATATTCCATCTTCTAAGCCCAGATGAAGGTGGGGCATTGCCCCCAAGCGTGATGGCTGTTTTATATGATTTAATTTCAAACAATAAAAGCAGCTCAGGCTCTTTCACCTTTTGGTTTGATGCCCTTTTCTACATATCTAGACTTCAAGTCACTTCCTGGGTGGGAAGCCTGTTTGGTTGGGAGCAGGGGCGGACTGACCATTTCGAGAACTCAGGCACTGCCCGAGGGCCCGGGGTCAGTAGGGGGCCCCATGAAATGCCCCTGGTACCTTTTATAGGCTTTTTTTTGAGTGTGGGCAAGGACACAGGGCCCCATGATCCCCTATTGCCCAGGGGCCCCACGAGTTGTCAGTCTGCCCCTGGTTGGGAGCTGTCTTACCAGAGCCAGTGTGCTTACTTAAAAACAGGGAGCAAATATTTAGACACAATTTAACAGTTTGCTTTTACCATAATTATTCATTATTCAATTTAATGCACATCGTTATCATTTCTAATATATGTTATATGCCAATCAAGACTTCAGCTTTAAGGCCCATTTGCTTCTTTGTATGAAGAAAGTCTACGCGTTTCAAGCTACAACACGGTTTAATCATGACTTCTTGGGAGTCAAGATTAATCGCTGATGCGGCACAAAATGCATAGACTTTCCTCATGCCCCACAGTATCTTGCTGCTGTGTTATGTTGCTTTCATGACCTAATAAAAATTTACTTTTTTGGAGTGCGGCTGGCTGGACCTCTGTAAATACATATGTTTCAGTTTGACTAACTGAGCTGGTGCCTGTGTGGAGTATTGTATGCTGGACTGTATCATCAGACCAACCTCGAGCAGCATTACAAGATTGGAATCTCTCAGAAGAGTGGTGGGCCTATGGTGTCCTATCAGGTTGTAGGTTATGCCTTTTCTTTGAGTATTATAAATTTGGCAGGTTCAAGGGCACCTGATGCTTTGCCTTACATTGGGCCAAAACCATCCAAACATGCACTAGTGATTGTTGGTGGTTATGTCGGTACCATTTACAGTAGTTGAAGGGAACCTATTACTAAGAAAATTTCCCCCAGTGCTCCCCAGATGTATTTTTTGCATTTTTTATACTTACCTTTTTTTTTTTAAGATACTGTATCTTCAGGCTGGTCACTTGATACGCAAGATCTTCCTTCTCTTTTCTGGTGGTTCTCGGTGTAGCATTTCATATGACCAATTTTGGTGCTAATAGGTGGGCTACTGTGTAAACTAAGTATCGGAAGCTGGGTACTGCCATGGGGCACAATGTCAATCCAGAAAGGTATTCCTTCTCTTTTCTGGTGGTCCTCGGTGTAGCATTTCGTATGACCAATTTTGGTGCTAATAGGTGGGCTACTGTGAAAACTAAGTATCGGAAGCTGGGTACTGCCATGGGGCACAATATCAATCCAGAAAGGTCTTCCTTCTCTTTTCTGGTGGTTCTCGGTGTAGCATTTCGTATGACCAATTTTGGTACTAATAGGTGGGCTACTGTGAAAACGAAGTATCGGAAGCTGGGTACTGCCATGGGGCACAATGTCAATCCAGAAAGGTCTTCCTTCTCTTTTCTGGTGGTTCTCGGTGTAGCATTTCATATGACCAATTTTAGTGCTAATAGGTGGGCTACTGTCAAAACTAGGTATTAGAAGCAGGGCACTGCCATGGGGCACAATTTCAATCCAGAAAGGTATTCCTTCTCTTTTCTGGTGGTTATCAGTGTAGCATCTCGTATGACCAATTTTAGTGCTAATAGGTGGGCTACTGTCAAAACTAGGTATTGGAAGCTGGGCACTGCCATGGGGTACAAAGTCAATCCAGAAAGGTATTCCATCTCTTTTCTGGTGGTTCTCGGTGTAGCATCTCGTATGACCAATTTTAGTGCTAATAGGTGGGCTACTGTCAAAACTAGGTATTGGAAGCTGGGCACTGCCATGGGGCACAATGTCAATCCAGAAAGGTATTCCTTCTCTTTTCTGGTGGTTCTCGGTGTAGCATCTTGTATGACCAATTTTAATGCTAATAGGTCGGCTACTGTCAAAACTAGGTATTGGAAGCTGGGCACTGCCATAGGGCACAATGTCAATCCAGAAAGGTCTTCCTTCTCTTTTCTGGTGGTTCTCGGTGTAGCATTTCTCTGTAGCAATATATGTGAGTGCAGAGTGCTGTGGTCACACATCTCTTGATGAAGGGGTTCTGAATGGACCGAAAATTTTGAATGCTGTATTGTGTAAGTATTACGCAATATAGCCAATTTGTTGTAAACTTCATTTTGCTATGTTGAGAATATGGATCAGAAAACAGGCCCGGGTTGATTCCTCAAGGGTTTGCCAAATCTGTTTGACATCCCATTGAAGTGAAGGGGAGTCAGAAGTGATCCTTTTTATTAACGTATGACCATTTTTAGTGCAAATAGGTGGGCTACTGTCAAAACTAGGTACTGGAAGCTGCGCACTACCATGGGGCACAATGCCAATCCAAAAAGGTCTTCCTTCTCTTTTCTGGTGGTTCTCAGTGTAGCATCTCTCTGTATAAATACATGTGAGTGCAGAGTGCTGTGGTCACATATCTCTTGATGAAGGGGTTTTGTATGAACCCAAAACATTGAATGCTGTATTGTGTAATTATTTGTGGAAAAATCATTGCCCAAATATGGCCAGTAGTTATATTTGGGCAGTGATGTCATTGCCATCCCTGTCCATTTGCCTACATGGTCAGGGAATCAAGGCCAATGTGATGTGATGTCTGCAGGACACGGCAGATGCATGCATCTGCTCAGGGGTGGAATGACAACTCATGGGGCCCCCGGGCAATAGGGGATCATGGGGCCCTTGTGTTCTTGCCCAAACTCAAAAAATCCTATGAAAAAGGTACCAGGGGCATCTCATGGGGCCCCCTACTGACCCCGAGCCCTCGGGCAGTGTCTGAGTTTCCAAATAGTCAGTCCGCCCCTGCATCTGCTGCTTCCTTACCAATCAGTGACAGAGGGAAGCTGTGATAAATAGAAGAGGTAGAAATACCACTTCTATATATGATGCACTGCTCTCTCTGAACAGGGGGCCAGATGGGTAATGGATCGGCATTTGTCTGAACACTCGAGCAATCAAAGTCCAGTCCGAACCTAAGGTTGGACTGAACCATCAGCTCATCGCATTATAGAAGCAACACCTCAATCCGAATAATTTCAGTTTAAAAAATGCTCTTCTAGGTATTCTTTGTACCTAGTACCTTTGCTTCTTCTTTACATGGTAATGGTCTTGCTTTGACCAACAGATAGAAATTGGACAGAAGTTCACTGGGGCTGTCCCTGATCCCGTTGATGCAAAACCATCCTGACAACTTTGCTTGGTCCTCTGGGGTCAGGCATTTTGATTGGTATGTGCATGGAATTTAATTCATTCTAGAGGTTATCCCATATAGACCCCCATAGTATGTCTCTTTCACAATAAAAGGCCTATTTTTTTACCAAAGTTTCACTTTAAGTTGGGATTTAATAGGCAGCACAAGCTGTCTGTGTTTACTTGCTGTTGATTTAATCGTTCCATTTAACAAAACCAACGTATAATCATTGATTGATGAAACATTGATGACATTACAGAAACTTTTAAAGAAAAAAAAAAGAACAGTTACCTTTAACAAACCTTAACCCATATTGGGGGCTATCCTTACATTCGTTTATACAGTATGTACAATGATTTTCAGATTGTTGCATAAACAGAACCTGTAAGCTGGAGAGCAAATACCCCTTTATATGGTTTAATTATTGAATTAGGAAGTGACCAATATCCAACTTACATAATTCATTAGGCCCTATTGAAGAGAATTTAAGTAGCAGAGCTACATAGTAGCTTCTGTAATTTTTACAGGTTCTCTTCAATTTACTAGATTTATTCAGAGATAGATAGATAGATAGATAGATAGATAGATAGATAGATAAATAGATAGATAGATTCAACCATTCTCAGCCCTCTTACCATAAAGCAGGGCTCTCCAAACTATGGCCTATCCGGCCAACTACAAGATTTCATCTGGCCTGCAGCTAGGGGTCACCGGAGTATCCTCAGTGAATGGACTGATGATTTACGAGATTTGATCTCCACTTCTGATAGGGACCCTGAAGTAAGTGGGGGGACTCTAATATGAACACTGATGTAAGGCAGGACACTGATATATTATATATATATATATATATATATATATATATATATATATACATACAGTATATACTGTATATACACTTCTGAAGTAAACTGGACTTCTGATGCGATTGGTAGCTTCTAATAAAAAGTTGTTTTTCATAGCATGTTTATTCAATATATTTATTTAAATTTTATTAATTCATTCATAAAACCAACTTTTGTTCAACCCTCAAATGTTTGTGAAAAATACAAAGTGGCCGTGGTACTAAAATTTTGGAGACCAATGCCCAAAAGGAACCATTAAAACCTTTTTTAGGTCCCAGGGAACCCCTCCTAAATCAATTGTTTGGGACTGAGTGGGAAAAATGCCCCATACATTGGTGGCCAGTGAAAGGTTTCCCCCTTACAGTGGTGGCCACCCTTACAGATCACCAAAAAGATGCTTGGTGTCCTTAGCTGGCTCTGGCAAGTGGCATTGACCCTAGAGCCATTCATTCACCATCAATTTGGAGGTCAATTAGCCACAGCAACCCCTGGAGAAACCCTAGGGTTCCACAGATCCTTGGTTGAGAAGGGCTGAATTAGACTATATAGACATATGTCTGTGGACACCTGAGATCACACCTACATGAGATAGACATTGTATTTCAAAACCATGGCCAATGATATGGCTTTCCACAATATTTGGTAAGTGTCCATGTTTATTTGTGTACATTTTTGAGGTCAGGTACTGATGTCGGAAGAGAAGACCTGGCTTACAATTGGCATTCTAATTCATCCCAAAAGGCGGTCAATAGGGTTGAGATCAAAGCTCAACTTGCCAAATTTTTATGGACTTGGCTTTATACACAGGGGCACAGTCATGCTGGAACCAAAAAGAGCCTTCACCAAACTGTTACCACACAGTTTGCAGTTCACAATTGTCTAAATTGTCTTTGTATAACATAATATTAATAGTACCCCTCACTGGATACACCTGAATTCAGTTAGTTGGAGGAATACCCACATACAGTACTTTGGCTCATATAGATAGGTGTGATGGTCAGGTGTCCAACATTTTGGCCATTTTGTGTAGATAGATTGATTTTTGATAGAAGGGTTAGCTTGCCTTTTCACAAAATATGAGACTCAAAACACCCTCCTCGCTGCACATACCTCCTTTGAAGATTATCTTTCACTGCCCATGCTAGCTGATGTAGCAGCCCAGTCATTTGAAGGTCGTGC